TCAGCTAGCTGTGGGTTATCAAATAACACTTTAGGCCGGCTTAAGTGCCGGCTATGAACTGGTTATATAGCAGCGTCAAATCGTCATTAGTGCTAGAACATTGATCCGCCGTTAATTTACGATTCGTCAAAGTTTTTAACCGTGCTGATAGGGGAGTAATTTTTAAGACATTATCTCATTTTGGCTAGCGTTAGTATATGTATAATGTATGCTTTTGTGAGTAGGAAAAATGTTTTATAATAAAAAAAAATTCAAGTGCGTATTTTACGTGTTGCCTCCCCGGAGGAAAAATAAAATGGCTTAATTCTAGATGAATTTTGTTTCGGAAATATTAGCTAATAAATTCCTAATATGCTAACTAAAACTGAAAAAAATAAATTATTTTTAAAATCAGTTTAGTAGTTATGAATTTAAAAACAACAAAATCAAACATTTTAAAAAAAAAGAAAGTAAACTAGTAAAAAAACCATAAGTGAAATATTGATTAACTAAATCACATTCGATCTTCGATCACGACTTTTCATTAGAGAAAATTGTGTAGTAGTAGCTAGTTAATTAAATTATTATTATGGATGGTTAGAAAATATCAAATGATCAATTGAGGAAGAGGGAGCCCCATTAAAGATTAAAGGGAAATTACAAGAGACGCTTTGGGTAAGGGAGAAAACTCTAGTTCAAGTATATGGACACACAAGGGACAAACAAGGGAAGCAAGACATGACTAACCAGCTTCATCTGGTGAGATAACCCGGGTGTTATTTTCTTTTAATCTCATTTACAAGTCTAGAACGTTAATTAGGGCGCCTTGCTTGGAGGGGAGAACGAGTTCAGTTCATTTTTGGAGCTGAATGTCAAGCTGCTTGTTAGTACCGTTTCCATGGAAACAACTTCCGGGTTAGTAAATTTGGCACAAAAGGGAAAACATGTAATAAGACCATATCTATTTTAAAGTCTCATCTGGAAACTGAACTTATACCCAGTGTTTCTTCCAGACTTTTTTCTTCGGGGGGGGGGGGGGGGGGGGGGGGCACTTGAATTTTTCGGAGGAGCGGTAGACTTTCTTCGGGGGGGGGAGGGGCGGACACTGTTAAAAGTATATATTTTCTATATAAATTATATAAATTTCATTTCGTTCGGGGGGGGGGGGGCGGTATAATTTTTCCGTGGGGGGGAGGCATGGGGGGGATGCCTGGAAGAAACTCTGCTTATACCATATTGAGTCTTGCTGAGATTTACGCAAGGAACCCATAAGTACATAAGCAGACAAATATAATGTCCATATATCTATATGTATATATGTATATAAATATATATATATATATATATATATATATATATATATATATATATATATACGTGGTTTTGTACTTTAGGAACACCTATGCATATGCAATATGTGCAATTCAAAGGGCACCCTGTACTAACTCACACGTTGAAATGGGCATAATACCCCACGTCAGTTGTGCGCCATTAACATTACAAACGCCATACAACATTAATAATGCCCGGGTATAGGCTATTCTATGAGTTGATCGCTTCGCGCTATGAAACAAAAGTACCATAAAAAACATTCGAGAAGTGTGTCTGTGGGGGAGGGGGATGATTCCTGTTGTCCAGGGTTGGTCATCCTGACACTTATCCAACAAACCTCTGCACTGAGATTAAATAAAAACCAACCCCAGGCTGAACTACATCGACGGTTCTCAATCTTCTACAGGTCATGGCCCTGTCAGCTCGTATTGCCCAAGGAAAGGTAACTCCATTTTCTTTTTGATTACCTGAATAAGAAAGAAATGGATATGAAGCAATACGCCGAGCTAATAAAACCGATGTGGTGTTATATTCTATCAACTTTGACATTTCGTGTTGTCTTATTGGTGTGTATTCAGAGAAAGTAACCATAGTATATTCACAACGCGAGTTGTTCATTAACCGAATATTGTTGTCTGTTTGTAAGCCTATTGTCCGCCCCCCCCCCCCTCTAAAAGTTTTATCTCTCCCCCCCCCCCCCTCATGGAGAAATAAGTCCGTAATAAACAATGGTCACAACTTACAATCTACATTAGTATGGACTGGATACTAGCTGCAATTTTTCTGTCGTTGCCCATCAATCGTCTCTAACTGGCTGCAGTGGGTGGAATCCATACGGCATTAACAAAGAAAAATTAAAAATGATACATGGCCGATGTCAGACTTTTCTAGACGAAAAAAAAAAGCTATAAATCTTTTAAAACATCACTTTTAAAGGAATGAGCTGACTTTAAAATAGAATAAAACAGTTGGCTTTTTTTTTTCAAAAACACATCACTATTAATTGTATATAACCGATTATAATAACTCTTTTCTGCGCAAACTAAAAGATTCACACACACACACACACACACACACACACGCACACAAACACTCACATTCTCTCGCACCAAGTACCTACATGTGCTCAGCGGAAATGAAGTCTAAACATTTTGTCATAAAAAAATAACATTTCTAAAGGGCATTAACTGTTGAAATAGATATTGTAATAATCGACGTTTTTTTTTTTTTGCCTCTTGTGGTGCACACGTACTAAAAAGCTACGCCCTCCCTCCTTCTAAAGAAACCAGCGCCCTTTATATAAAGCTTCCTTCTACAACTACTACCAGGAAGGAGCGCCCCTCTCATAAAGCGACGGCCCACACATCTCTACCAGGAATTTGCGCCCCTCCCATAAAGCTTTATTCTACCACCTATATCAGAATGGAGCGCCCCTTACATAAAGCTATACCTACTGCATCTAACAGGAAATAGCGCCCCTCGCATAAAACTGCGCCCTCCTATCTCTACCAGTAGCAGCGCCCTCTGCCAGAACGCCCTACTCTCTGGCCAACGATGACCTAATTGGAATTCCGGACAAGCTAAATGAAACTTCCTTGTTTTGAAATATATTGCCTGAAAAGAAATGGATATCAATTTCTTGGTTGGCGAAACGGCATACATCTTTGTCCTCTAGTGCATAATCAATATAAACACAACGACAATAGAGCTCGCGGGCAGCTGCAGAGAGCTACAATAAATCATGTTAATGTTGCATGTTCTGAGACAAGGAAGTTAAGTGGGGACTAAAGCTTATGGGTTGTGTGTGTGGGGGGGGGGGGGGGGGGGGGTGTTAGAGTGGGGGTTTTGGTGTGGGTGGTTATTGAGGTTGTGGTGTTTGTTGGTGTGGGGTGGTTGTTGGAGGGGTTGTTTCTTTGGGGTGAAGGTCGTGTAAGGTGGGGTCAGTTTTAGGATGGATATGGGGTTTGATCGTGTGGGTGTGTTATTAAGTTGGGGTCATGTGTATTGAGGTCGAGTTTTTTTTTTTTATTTTGGTGACTTCAACTCTAGATTATTTTTTGGGGGGAGGGCGGGGGGAGAGGGGGTCGTTTTTGACCAATGTGAAGGTTGTTTGGAATGTTAGTGTGATACGTTAATTAGTGGTAGTAAAATTTGAATGTAGCATTAGTGAAAGTGGGACCTTGTCTAGCTGATGAAAAGATGGCAGGCTAATTTTTAGATGACAGGTACAAAGCTCCTGAAAGCATGTGTCATGGGAGGGATTCAAACATTTTTCCATATGTATACAATCCTATATATATATATATATATATATATATATATATATATATATATATATATATATATATATATATATATATAGGGGTCCATGGGAGGGGTTATAACCCTCTAACCCCCCTTTGCCCACGCCACTGGTGGGTGTAGAATTGTTATATGATAGTAGATGCCACAGTATTCGTTTTGATTGTGTGAATATTTATGGACAAGGGAAATAAGTAATCAGAAGTAAAAATGTTATCTCCCTTCTCAAACTTTGGTCTTCTACTAGATTACTAAAGTTAATTGCTAATACAATTTTTATGTTGTTTTTTTTTTTTATTATAATTTTATGTCACAGTCATCTTGCGGTTTTAGACGCAAATTTTAATTAGAATTTGACCCGACTAGACGGATAGAATGGCTATTACAAAATACAGAGTTAAAAATACATTTTTACGTTTTCGCCTAAAATTTATCGTTATAATGAGCTTGGCAATCATTCAAAAATAAACTTGATTTGGCTGGTAAACTAAATCTGGCAATAAAATATTGGCCCTCGTGAGATCCCACGCTTAATTATTTAGATTTTACGCCCGTCCTGACATCCCCGCCCCTGCCTACTTTTGTGTACAAATGCGATTCAACCTAATTTATGAGGTTTAGAAAAGAAAACATGGGTCGTAAATACACGACGACACATTCCTAAGGGGAGGGGTTTCGAAATGTTTTGACGATGTCTGATGAAGTGGAGGGGTTGGTCAGGATATATAGCGAGAATTTTGCATTTTAAAAAATAATGTTAGAAACTGAATTTTAGCCATTATTTTGCATGTTGAAAAAATATATTACTCTATTTAAGTAAAAAATGTTGACGAAGCTCATTAAATTATTTAGTGGGAAATTGATGTGTTTAAAAATAAAAACAGCAATTTTGAGGGGGAGTTGTAGGCTGAGGTGTCACGTATTTTATGGAAAGGGGGAGGGGCGTTTGGCGGTTTGTGACGATGTGTGACATTGGGGAGGGGAGGGGTGGTAAAAATCGTCAAAAAAGTTTGATGTCTTTTATTTATGACCCAATACGTGCTTTGTTTATCAATATATTTATCAATATATTTTAGTTTGTCTATTGACCTCTATAAAATCATGTAAATGAAACGTTGTCCCATACCTAACTAGAGTTATTAAATGTTTTAAAAGTAATTAATTTACCTGCTCTGTCCAACGAGTTCTGATTAGAAAATTAATTATTTCTTAAGCCATGAATAAAATGAGCATCAAAATATTGTTATGTGAACTTTTGATTTGATCAGCCAAAGGTGTGGTTTATACTGGTTTTCATGTTTCATCATTTTCTGCTACGGAAAAAAAAAGATTTAAATCATTTCTAACATTTTTTTTCCTGACATTCTTTTTTTTAATTTTATTCACAGATCCACATGGCGGTCACGTGAGTTCATTTACAATCAGCTAATTATCTTTAAACCATTATTGTATTAAATTACATTACTGGACAGTGTTTAACCATAAATCTGTTTACGTAGATGAATCTTTTACTTCAACAAAACAAACATGTTCTTTGCTATGTGTCTTCAATGTCTGAAGATGACGTTTTTGTAATGTAGCAGATGATATCACGTCTGTTCTGAAATGATATTAATTACTAGCTGTATCCCGTGCTCCGCCACGGTAAATCATTTTTAAATATACCAACTTTGGAACAGAACAAAACTAAACACAACACAAACGAACAAACGCAAAAAAAAACAACGAAAAGCGAACACAACACTCATAACATAAACACAATTTAAATGCAATCATAAAGGCATATTGCTCACAGTCTAGCCCGTAGCGCCAAATCG